CTGCTTACCCTGGCTTGGTGTGGCTGATGAAATTGGAGCTTTGGGGATAGAGTATGCTTCTTACAGACTATTGCTGCTGTTTTAATTCATGCATAGACTTGTAAAACGAAATGGAAGCACAGGGTTTCCTTTGCAAATACAAAACTAAAACTCTTCAGTGCAGACATTTTCATTATTGCAAACGGAAGTCTAACAAATAAAGGCAAAAATAAATGATGCCTAGGCCTCAAAAACTCTTTCCACTCCACTATGTCTAACAGTATTTTTTTGTCAGTTTATGACATTGGTCTTAAAACAGAAGGTGAATTTTCATGAACAAAAAAATAAATAAAATCTAAAACCTATTTGGAAAATGGCTTTAAAAACAGTATCAGATTGGTATTGCTATTGAGGTACTGCAGCTAGTATTGGTATTAAAGCCAAAATTTTGTTATTGATCCAACTCTGTGGTGTGCTTCGGGTCTAATACCTACAGTCACGGCCAAAAATATTGGCACCCCTGCATTTATGTCAGAAAACGCACCACTTTTGCAATTACAAATGCTTTGGTATTGGTGCATTTTCTGACATAAATGCAGCTGTTCTTTTCTTCAGTGCCACTTCAGTGCTTATTGCTTCCATGATTTACTAGAACCATAACATGTGGCAACTAAACTTAATTAGCATAAGGATATGCTGAATTTATACAGACTATTGACTTTTGGGCCTCACAATAAAAATCACATTAATATCTTAGGCACACTATTGATCTGCTTATCAAACTGTGGGCATAAGTAAATGTCCATAAAGTACCAAAAAACCAGCGTCTGTACAGATGTTTCACCTGTCATCTAAGGCCCTACTAGTTGTTGCGCATGCGCCATATATTCACAATTACACATTGACAGCCCTAGTGGTGACGCAAACAGCTCAGTTTGGTCACACCTATTAACAGGCCCATGTCAGCTCAGGTATGGGCTGGGTATGGCTTGCATACTTTGCAATGGAAAACTGCCAGTTCATGGTACGGGCTGGGTACAGTGGAAAAGCACTATGTGCGACTTTAGTTCTGCCACTTACGAGATACAAACTGCTCTCTGTGATAATGTTTAGATCAGGGGTGGGGAACCTCTTCCATGGAGGGCCGATGTGGGTGCGGGTTTTTGAGATGTTTAATTATTGGCTGATTGAGAGGCCATCCCAAAAACCTGCACCCACACCGGCCCTCCATGGAACAGGTTCCCCATCCCTGGTTTAGATTGTCTTTCTAATGTCAGTGGATCTTTGACTTCTTCCTACCTCAGGGCTGGTCTTGGTTCACCTAGAGCACACAGTCATTGTTGCACGCGTTTGGAAACCAAGGCATGGTTTACAGCACATGGCCCACAGCCTGGTGCATCCCGTTTTAGGCAGAACTTGCCTATTGTTTCTTCTCTGAGTTCCTGGTCTACTGCTCCTCGTTAACTGTAAACTGTCTGGTTGCTGATGTGTGAATGTAACCATAGCTTCTGTTTCTGTTGATCATTGTTCAGCCATTCTGTCAGAATTTTGTCCATGTGCAAAATTAGTGTAGGTAGTATTCCTCAGACACATTCGTTTAATTTAGGGTAGGGATGGACAGTTTGATTGTGCAAATTTTTTGCCCTACAGTTGCGCAACACCATGTAAATGATTAGTACATTGGGTGTAACCGGTAGATGTGAATGCCAAAGGTATGCCTGCTAAATGATAGACTCAGAACAGTAGGGTCCTTATGGCCTGTCCATGTGAAACATGTGTATCTGTTAGCTCAGGGCAGTTATTGGAATGTGTGGGGTCATACTGTCCTCATTATACACTGTATCATGCTGTTAAAGTTATGTCTGGTTTAAAAAGTTTTTTTTTATTATTATTATTTTTCTTTTTGAATGATGGCAGTGGCTTTCTTTGGGTAAAGTGGTATTTTAAAAGAACCGTGCAGTCCAGATAGTTGTAACATAAATTAATACATTGCCTTCACATGTATGTGCTTTGACAGTCACAATGTTTTAGAATATATATCTCATAAATTAAGAAAGGTAAAAGCTGGAGGCGATTTATGTAGCCTTCCTCGTATGATCTTCAAACATTTTGCAGCTAGATATATGGCAAAGATGTGTATATGACTATATACAGTATAGGAAAGTGTTCTTATAGTTGCTTAATGCAGTATTTTTCCATTATATTTGTTTGTACAACCCTTTTAAAGGCTGGTGTTAGGGGTGTTCACTTTTATTTCCTGTGACAAAAATTAGCCAAATTAGCCTGCTTTCATACAGAAATATACTAGTGTTTACTGCACTACATTGAGGTACGTCCTATATTAATATAACTTCCTTCTCAGTGTGGTCAGGTTTAGGTGGCTGATGTAGATTCAGAACTTTTTAGAGATGTATAAATGCATGGAAGGATGGAATGAAACACTTCAGATCGTCTTTACACGGTTCTGAGTGTCTGGCTTTGGAGATCCCACAGTCCGTGAGAAAGTGGTACATCAGTATGAACCCTCTGCTCTTGCCGTGGCCCTCAGTTACTGTGTGTTCCCTAAGGATTCTTTCTGGATAAGAAAAATCTTAATGAGAAGGAAATAATAGTGCCCCAAATTCAGTGGTAACTTCTCACGTATATGCAGGTTTTTTTTTGCGAGTAAAACTTGACTTCGACCAATGCCAAATTTTCCTGCTGACCGTATCCTGTTAGCGCTGTAGGTTATTGCCATGGTAACTTAAGTTGCTAAGCATTGTCATGGTAGTTAGAACTTGCTGATAACACCATATATTGTTTACTACTTTACTTTGCTGTGTATAAATTCTCAAATGATGTATAAATATCAGTGGTGCACCAATGTGAAAGTTTTGGCCAATAAGGATAACTGATACATTTTTATTTATTTTTTTTTAATTCCGATACTGATAATTGGCTGACCTTTGAGCTCCACAAACCTGTAATGAAACTGATGTCAATGACATTACTTCAGAAGTCTCTGAAGTTTATGTTGATTTAATACAGTCTTAACTTAACCTTCGGGATATTTAAGTTTTAGACCCCGATGACACTTAAGATTATGTGAATTATGCTTTGCCGGTTTAAAAAAAATTTTATACCATGGTACTGACCGACATTATACTATGGTATATGGTATTTTGATGGTATTCTCAGCAATGCTATTCCAGTATTTTGAAATCTTGAAGATAAATTTCATTGACTGAGGAGGGTGGGGGCTTTTCCCCATGATATATTTCCCAGAATAGTGAATACCGCCCCCCCAGGCCAATTACATCTCCATTATATCTAAATATTGCATTGCACGCCGGCTACTATACAGACGTATGCTTACACCCACAGTTTGGTAAGCAGTTTATTAGTGTGCCTAAGAGTCCCAACCTAAACTACCGAAGTACCAAAAAAGTACCCCAATTGGGGCGCTTTTCCACCACACAAAGTACAGTACTTTCGGTACGGTACTTTCGGTACTTTCGCTTTTCCATTGACTTCTGGTCGAGTACCAGTACCGAAATCTCGAGTACCAAAAGTGCCAAACCAGTTGGGGTACTTCTTTGGTACTTTGGGGTGGGACTTGCAAACGTATTTGCTATCGATTTGGTTATGCAAATAGCCTGCCGCTGAA